AGAAATTTAATTATGTTTTGCTTTGGTATAGTTTTCTTCATGTTTGTTAAGCTTAGAGTTTGTTTAACGTATGTATAATTTGAGGGATTTGGGGTCAATTGTTCAATTATATTTTCTGTGTCACCCTGTTTTCAGGAACACAAATTATATTTTCATTAGGTTGCTTCAAGTTACTCCACAGCTCACTGGTGTTCCTTTTGTTTTTAAATTTTTATATCTTTTATATCTCTGCTTAATTATTTGAACATATTAAATAAATACAATCACAATAACTATTTTAATGCTATTTTCTGCTAACTCTAACATCTGTGTTCTTGATTATTTTCAATTTGTTGATCATTTCCTCTTCTTTCTGTAACCACATTTTTATTTGATGCTTCACATTGTAAACTTGACCTTTTTGGGTGCAGGGTATTTTGTATTTTTATAAATATTTTTAAGTTTATTTTGGGGTATAGCTAAGTTGTGTGGAGAGTGTTTAATCCTTTTAGGACTTAGGTTTTAGGTCAGTTAGGCAGGTTCAGGTGGTGATCCATCTGTGGTTATTTATGCCTCACAGTAGAATCAAGAGCCTTCTGAGTATTCTACTAATGCATTTTGATTTCTAAGGTTTTGCAGTCCAGCAAGAGAAAACAGACACATTCTGGCCCTGTGTGAGCACTGGCTGCCTCTCTTTTTCATCCTTTTATCTAGCCTTTCCCCAGCTCTCCTGTTAGCTCTCCATCACTGTAATGAAGTTCTTGACACAGGCTGCTTAGGAGGTAAGGGGAGGCTTATTCAGCTCACAGGTTTGGTAGTTCACATCATGGTAGAATGTCATCTGGGAGCATCTTGAACTGGAGGGAGAAGAGAAGGGAGAAAGAGGGAGAGAGAGACAGTCAGACTGACAGACAGATAGCAGGTAGACAGATACCCACCCATCACAGGGTCCCATGGTACCCTCTGAAGGTGAGCTGCCAGTAACCCAAGACTGGCAGACCCCACCTTCCAAAGCTCCATGGCACCTGAAAATCAGCCACTTTGGGACAGGTCTTTCCTTGCAGGCCACTGTGTACCCACATCCTGCAGACAGCCCTGGCTTTGGGTGCTTTCTCACATGATCAGGTCCTCAGCTGGATGCTCTGGGGGACCTTTCACAGGCCTGTGAAGTTCAGCCTGTGCCTGTCTCCTCTTCGCTTCGGGGCTTTGTGAGCCTGACTGTCTTGGTCTCCCTGGCTCCAGTGCTGTCTCCTTGACTCAGACTCCACGGTCTCTACCTGGTTCCTCTCTCTGTTCCAAGGCAGGGAATACTCTTGATTCAGTCATCTGGGACAGTGGTAAGGTGGGGTTCATTTGTTTCTTATCTCTTAGGGATCATCGTCTTTTGTTATCTTATTTACTTTGTCTTGAAAATATTATTTCATGCATTTTGTATTTTTTTGTTTTTTATTTCATTTGGGAGGGTAAATCTCCTTGTTACTCTGAACTTCAAGCAGAGTTCTTTATAGCTTCTTAAAATACAAATATTTAGATGGTTGTGGTTAGATTATATGCATCATTTTATGATACATAAACATATTTCAGACATTTGCCGTATTTCTAAATAGTTTCATGGTTGCCACTTTAATAGCTGAAAAATATTTCATAGCATGCCAGATTTTTGAGAGTTTATATATTCAAGAATAATTTATGTCTTATCTCTTTCCAAAAAAGAATTTCAGATGGCTTATTGACAAAAAGGCCTACTAAATAAGAGTAATGCTCTATTAAAAGGAAAAATAAAGTCAAGGAAAGCAAATCAAGTAATAATGCCAACTATGATAATGTGTGCTATAATTGAAAGTAAATTAGGCTTTGGGCATTCTGGCCATCAAATATGCAAACTGCTATTAGTTACAGTGTTACTGTTGCAGAGTGAAAGGATTAATGTGTGTTAAGAGTTACTGAATGTAAGGCCGGGGATCAGTGGTGCTGCCGCCTGCTTCTCAAGCACAAGGTCCTGAGTTCAATCCCCAGTACCAAAAAAAAAAGTTACTGAATGCCTATTATATGTGACTTAACAAAAGGCATAATCAGTACTATGTTCTGTGAGTTTCACATCACCCTTGTGATACCTTCCCTGACCATACAGCAAGCAGCAGCCTAGGGATTCACATTTCCAAGACCATAATGTTACAGCAGGGATTCAGAGGCCAAGGCCATTATTATACAAGTCGCCCTAGGAGGACAGACATTTTCCCGGTACCATATGAGAAAAATCTCTCATATGGGGCAATTTAGCGAGTGATCCTATGACCAGTGTCTTAAAAACAATTCATACTTAATACAGACAAGGTTTTGAAGGACTGTTTGTTTTTGTAATAGCTTTTGATGGGTGTGACATTGAGCTACCCTTCATTTGAGGAGCTCTCAGGAGGAGCTACCCTGAAATGGATGTGTGTGTCTCTTTCTCGGCTCATAACATTAGCCAAGGACAGCACTTGGTCCTTAGAGGAGAGAACCGCTGTGCCCCACACCCTCTGTGATCCTTCTTGCTGTCGAGTTCTTCCAAGGACCTCGATACCTCATTTCCCGCTTTCTGCTGAGGGTCTGTTTTGTGTAAATCAACTCCTCCTTCCCACAAACTGCCCTGCCTTTCCTTGCTGTTTGGTTTCTGTGTTCATTGCTCCATGAGAGCTTTGGGGCTCTCCCTGCCCTCCTGACTGCTCCCCATAAGCCCATTACTTTTCCTCCCAAGGTCCCATCTTCCCTTCACTCCTTGTGGGTGTCTGTACCCCTGTTTCTTTGTGTCTAACATTTGGCGTATCCATGGTTTCCTACCTTAACGTCAGTGGGCACTGACTCCTGATTGTGCTTGGCACTCAACTGGAGGAGGGAACTCAGATGAGCGATGCCTGATTCTGACATCAGGGCTCCTCTCCAGTAGAGACAAGGGAGTCACTACCATTTTAAGAAATAACTTAAAAGTTGTATCAACAAAGCACATATGAATGCCAAAGTAAGAAATATCGGGAGCCATTGCATTGTAGCATGTACCTTTTGATGCTGAAAGTTATAAAGCTTTTAGCAGACTCACTCAATTCATTTACTGCCCAGATTTCCCCGGCCCCTGTGCCCCTGCTATCCTTGCTTCTCGGAGAGACCAGCTGCTGGCATTGTCATTCAGTCCCAAGCACTGCTGGCTGTCCCCACCTCCACCAGGGTACAGTCGGGGATTAGGGTGGTTTCCAGCACATGCACAAGGGAGGGGACTCAAAACTCCAGTGCTCTGGTCCTCTCTGACTGACTCTCAGAGCTTGTTCTCAGAGCATTTTCCCCTACTTCTGGGCTCAGATACAATGCCACTCATGCTGCCGGAGGCGTAGGTGACACAGTCCTGAAGTGCAGTGGAATCTGTCTGACCACCGAGAGCCACAGGTGATGCTAGGCTGTTAGCTTCCATATCCTCCTCCAAGCATGGAGCTTCCACGCCTGCCTGAGCACTGCGTCACGACTGCACTCCATGCACCCTCTCATTCTGCCCTCTCCTCGCCTTCCCGGTGTCCTCCTGTGGCCCTGTGACTACACCTTCCAAGAAAGTCTTCACACAAGGCTTGCCGCAGGCCCTCTTTGTGAGGGAATCTGGGCTGCAACTCAAGCAGCCATGGCTTGATGGTTTGTAAGCGAAAAGAAGCCATAAGCAAAATACTAAGAGAGGCAGGGTGCGTGGTGACAATCGTTCCATGGAGCCTGCCTCTCCCTCCTGAGAGTGGCCTGGCTTCCCCACGCCTGAAGCCACTCCCACCACCTCTGCAGGGTATGTCCTCCTCCTAGCCACATCTGCACCTGAAAGAGCTCTCGGATTGCCCTTCTCCTCACGTTTCTGTATTTCCAAAATATCTAGTCCACATAGACTTAAAAATTCGTCATATAAAATGGTATCTTCATATTCCTCACATTCCAGCTCCAAATCCACCACCTTCCTGAAGCCAGAGGAAGTTCTCCTGTTACCTTGCTACCCAAAGGATTTGTTTTTAAGCCACTTTTGAGTCTGTCACATCTTGTGTCAAACAGGGTGCGTGCATATGTCTCACACATTTAACAGAGCACAGGGTCCTCAGAGGCAGAGGTACAAAGTAGGCCTTCCACACACACCAGCTGAATTCATCCAGAAATCTGCCTGTAAGTTTAATTAGGGTTAGGTTTATTAAATCAGTAGTGTGGGTGTTTCTTAAATCACTGTAACTATTTTTATAATCTAATGTTAATAATTGCTTTTGAACAACATTAGGAGACCTTAGTAGGTCTGGAACGTTCTCATGGCTCTGGGCAAGATCATAGCTGTGTGACTTTGCTTTGGTTCTCCAGCTACCTGATATTAAGGAGTGACTCTCAGAGGCTCCAGAGGATGACAGTGGCAGAATCCAGTCATATGACAGGACTGGGTCACCACAACAGGGACAGGGAGCATGCTTAGCACTTCTTCTGTGCTGGACCACAGTTCTGCCTGTACCCTGGGACATTTCAAGAACATTAGTTTCTTCCCTCATTTTCTCATTTGCAAATTTGGCTTCTTTCTTCCTTCATTTCACACCATCCAGTTAATTTCACAGAATTTTTGGAGTCATTGTAGAAAGTGATTAAAGGGTAAAGAATCCGAAAAAGATATAAAAACGTAGTGTGTGGATGTCAGTGTCGTCATTTTTAGTTGGCTACATGGACTCCCTGAGATGATACAAACTTGGCGGTGCTCATGAAAAGAGGTCTTGATTTTCTTAAATATTTGACTCGGGGAAGCTGTTTGATCCACTCATTATATAACAAGACTAGGCAGGTTTCCTCTTCATCATGTTTTTTTCCTCACTGACATCTTCCAGAGAAAATGCAGCATGATTTGATTTTCAAGGCTAATTTGCCTTTTTGTCCTAAGCAGTATCCCTTCCCTTCTGCACAGTAACCTCCTGTGCTCCCTTCCCAGAGCTGGGGAGGATCCTTCAAAATTCCTGCCAGGCAGCCCTGTGCAGGGATGGGAGGGAAGGGAAAGGAGGGAGGGAGGAGGCGGGAGGGAGAGAGAGGTAGAGGGTGTCTGTGCTGCGTGCATGTGGTGCAGGCAGGAGATGAGAACGCCAACAGAACAGGCAGGGGAATCCCATGTTCCCTTTAAGTATGTTAGCCCTGTGGGGAGCTGAGCTCGCCAGCCCTCCTGGAGAGGAAGAGTAGACTGGGAGAAGGTAGACAAGGTCAGTCTATAAGTGACACCCTCCTCGGTGATGGTGAGGACATCTGCTGCTCTCCAGTGCCGGCCGGGTGCCTCCTGGTCAGACTCGTCTCCTCCCAGACCCTTGATTTTGCGAAAGGGACACACCTTTCTGCAGGAAGGAGGACTCTGGCCGGATTGCGAGCGGTAGGTTGTGACACTCAGCATGTTTCTGCAGCAGAATTGCTGAGAGAGCAGGGAGAGGGGGTTGCTCGGGCTGCCTGATTTATCTGCACTAGGGAATGTTTTATTTTAATTGTCATTTAAAAGAAGCATTGTTGTCTAGGCTAAGGTAGCAGTTTAAAACGCCACATTCTGGGCTTCTGCATTTGTTTGATTTGATTTCCGTTTTTGTGTAGCTTAGAGAAGCCAGGCAGGGCTCACCTTTAAATAACTTGCAGCTTCCTATTTTCCTTCTTTTTTCCTCTCCCTAAGCTCAGTTTCCACCACATCTTTCTAACAGCCTCCGCCCTCCTCCTCACCCGGTGGAAGTGTGGCCTGTCTTCACCTTGAGGCTTTAGCACTGTAAGCCTGGATTTCCGGCTGGTTTGCTGTAGGTGGCTGTGGATGCCCAGGCAGACTGATTCGGCAGGAGCATTTGTGCATGGAAGTTGGAGACCATGGCCGTGCAGCTGGTGCCGGACTCTGCTCTCAGCCTGCTGATGGTGAGTGTGTGGGAGGAGGGGGGCCCGGGAGGCGCCTGGTCAGCCTGTGCTGTGCGGGCCGCTGCTGCTGTTGCTGTTGCTGCTGCTAAGCTGCCGCCGCAGTGGCTGCAGACATGTTAGACCCGCTCCGCTTCACTCCGCAGGCTCTGGAAATGATTTCTTGGGTCAGAGTAGCAGCATGACTAAGCACTCTCAGCGAGGAGAAGTGGTAGAGTTGCCATTTTAGAAACTTGTTGCTGAATGCTGTTTGGGGAGAGGTGCTTGCAAACAGGTGCTAAGAGCCCCTCAAAAATAGATCGGCTGGGAGCTGCCCCAGGTGCTGAGTATTCTTCTCCCTTGGCCGTTTGAATCTAAAGCCAGAGCATCTTCGTGGTGTTTGTTTGCTTGATTTATCCTCATGGTGGCATGGTCGGCTAGTACCCTCCTTGCAGGAGCCCCATGTCTGCTCAGATTCCCCAGAGAACCTGTAGCGGCCTGCAGTGGCCTTTGAGATCCTTGGGCTACTGAGCAGAGGAAACTCCTCTCCTGTCTGCAGTTGGCAGGGAGACCTTGGCCGCCCTGCCCAGACATTGATATGTGTGTGGACCACTGACCTGCTTTACGCCCCTCTGTGATTTTTCTCATTTTGAGAAACCTGTCAGTCATAGCATTTTAAGCACACAAGGGCAGTGATGCTGTCTTGTTGTTACTTGATTGGCTTTTGCTCGACGGTAGGATCAGTTTGCTGTGGCTGTCATTTTGCCCCTCCTCCATCCTCCGCCCAGTGGCTCCCAGGCCAGGGCGATACTCTTGTCGGAAGTAGCCTGCATTGGCTGGGAATGTTCTTACCGTTTACACAGGAGGTTTTATGTACAGTCTGAGTGCTTCTGCTCTGTGTATTGATCTGTGTTTTCTGACTGCAAAGGGAAGGGCAGCCCGGTGAGGCGGGATGAGTTTATTAAGGCCACTTGGGGGAGGAGCCGTGGGGGTGGCCTCCTGGGTGGAGAGCTGGCATGTTGAGAGGGACAGGTGTCTCGGTGCTTTGTTACTGAAAATGTCATTTGGGTCACACAGTCATTCGAATTGCCTGAAACTGCATGTGTCTCTGACCTCTGATTTCACTGAGAATTAGAAAGAAAAAGAATTAGAGAGAATTAGAAAGGAAAGTCATTTTCTGGAGGAGCTAAACTACTCATCCCCCTTCCCACATCAGTACTGTTGTCTGATGACACTTCCTCTTCCCTTGTCTACTTTGGATTAAATGAATGGCTGGTCAGGGATCTGAGTGTTTGCCATGGTGGCCGGCCCTGAACTGCAGTTCTATCAGGAGCAAGAGACTGCTGGGAGCCCAGTGCACAAAAGTGCAGAGGCGCACACTCCTGTGCATACGTGCACACATGTTATCTGCAGTGTGTTCATATGGAAGAAGGGCGTTTTCCATAAAAATAGCTTCAGGGAGAGTCAAGCCTGCTCACCTCTGACTGCAATGAATTCTCCTTGTGCTCAGATGTCTGTTTTTACTTCAAGGCCCTGAGGATATATCTTTGGAACCCCTGCAGTCTGCAGCTCAGCACCCCTGCTCAGCTGCTGCTCTGTGCACCATACTCAGCTCCTGAATATTCTGACTGCTGTCCTGCCAGTGTTGAGTTCAGACTTTATCCCCTGTTTATCAATGGCCTCTGCCCCAGATCTCTCCCTGGCCCTCACCTCCTGCCTGGATTAAAGGATTGTGTTCTCTTCTCTCTCAGAAGCTGGGAAAGTAGCTCTTGACACCATGATGGGCCATTAGATTAGAGCCCCTTGGAGCACCATGTGTAATCGGAGTCAGTGCACATTTTCTGGTTCATGTTTGGTTCAGGGAAATTTTCCCCTGTGGACTTTAGTGCCTTTTTCATTTTTAAGGGTAAACCCCAAAGTAATTGCTTCCCTGACATGTTGCATGATGCATGTCAAAATTTATAAGCAAGTCAAGGAGAAAAAAGAAGGAAGGAAAAGATGCCATTTAGTGGAGTAGCTTCGGCTGTGAGTTCGGAAGGAAGCTATAAACATTATTGCTTATTAGTGCATTAGTCAGCCAGTCGGTTCTCAGTATTTATCGAGCATCTACTCACTGGCAAGTGTAGGATGGTGTAATTGCCAGAACCAGAGCTCATCAGTGCACAGTTTGGGGGAGGTCAGTACCAGGTTAGACTGCAGTTCTGCTTTTGAGGCCAGTGGGGAGATCACCTAGCTGTGCCCCTCATTTGGGTCAGAAGGCAGCCAGGGTCGTATTGAATGTAGATGCTAAATGATGCTGGCTGGAATATGTTTACTTGGTTCTGGAGATAGCCACAGAGTCAAGGTTTGGAGAGTCCTGCTCTGTGATTCCAGCTCTGCCACTTAGTGTCCCTTGCTGGTCCTGTGCCTCATGTGTGCCATTTGCTAACTGAGAGGCTGCTACTACTTTATAGGGTCCCTTTCAACTCTGCTAACACAGTTTAGGGCCAGTTTGGGGGATGCTGTCTAGGACAGAGTTCCCAGACAGCCAACTAAAGTGTTTTATTCATCATTATGTCCTTATGTCCAGTCTATTGCATGAGCAACATGGCTTTTAGAATGGCAGGGTTTGTTCCCACCCATAGGGCTTTTCTGCCAGGACAAGTATATTTCAATTAGCTGAAATCTATGATGATTGAGGTATATTCAAACTCTGCTGTCAAGAGACCTACCCATAGGAACCTAGTTTTTTTGTTGGACAAAAGCCAGGGACCTTTCCATGGTCTCTAGGTAACTTTCCAGTCTGGAATCTGGGCCTGGATTGTGAGATGCCCCGACCATCTCTAAGTGGAAGGACTGCCATGGTTCTTTCGGTGTAAGCTTGGAGAGGGGGTGATCAGCACCTGGGCAAGGTGGAGCCTGACAAATGACCGAGAAAGGGTGGAGGGAGAGAAAAGTCAGATGCTGGTTGTAAAGACGGCTCCATGTGCCCTTGAAAAGTCTACCTCCCCGTCTTCACAGGAGTCTCAGGAAGTAGAAGCATTTCCTGTGCTCCTTGCCACTTTGGGAGTCTTGAATGGGGCATGACTCACTGTAGAGCAGGACACTCTTGGCTGTGCATCATTTGTTGAAGTCACATGAGTTCAAGAAAGCTGCAAGAGCTGCACTAGGCTCAGGTATTTGTTGATTATTCTTTGAGTCTAGAATAAAACTCAAAGATGGTATTGTTCAACTTTGGTCTTTGGATTCTGGAAGCTCAGACCTATTAAAAATGGTTAAAATAATTTTTGATATAAATTAGTTGGGTAAATAATAAATAATGCAAATTATGCTCTTTTTTGGGGGGGGTACCGGGCATTGAACTTGGGTCCTTGTCCTTGCAAGGCAGGCCACTGAACTGCTGAGCTAAATCCCCAGCTGTGCTCTTTAAATAAAGTATCTTTGCATACATTATCTCATTTAATCTGTATGACTCTTTTAAGACAAAAAATCTGGTAATCAGGATTTGGGAACCTGTCTTTGGTCACTCAGCTGGAATTGCTAGAAAAATCTAGGCCCGCTGAAGACCAAGAAAGTGTTTTCCCTTTTGCCACATCAGAGCTCAAGAAGTAGACTCCCGGAACCTTCCAGTACTTTGGATGAGCCTCTCCAGGGAGCCTTACCTATGAACATTCTGCGCTTTCCACATTTCAAGGTGGATAATCCTGTCTGCCTATTTATCATCTACTGTTTTCTATAGTAAAATGTAAAATTTAAAAGATAGCATATGTCTCAATTACTTTCCTCATGCTGAGATAAAATACCAGATACCCACAGGTTAAAGGAGAAAAGATTTGTTCAGCTCACAGTTTGTAGAAGCTTTAATCCAGTCAGCTGGCTCCAAGGCAGAGTGGCGTGGTGGAGGGTGTCATGGAGGAGGAGAAACATTTCATGGCAGAGCAGGCAGGAGGCAGCAGCAGCAGCAGTAGCAGGTCTGACTTCTTTCTGTCCCTTTATATTCCAACCAGGCATTGAGCTTATTGCTTGGTGCCACCCATACCCAGGGTGAAGCTTCTGGTATCTACACCCTTAATACATACTCACACAGCCTAAATCCTGCAAGCTCCCAAAAGCACCACCTTTGGCCACATGAGGCTTTGAGTGGACATCTAGATATATGCCATAACACCATAGATCTGGTTCAAGATGTCTTGTTGGCTTTTGTGTTTATATTCATAAAGGTGTGTCATGTTTTTGAGGTTCTGTTCTCTTGGACTGTGTTCTAGGAAGTAGCCAAAAGCCATGTTTTATAATTGGTAAATTTCATACGTAAAAGCTCAAATTCACAAGTCAGAGAAATTAGTGAGTGATGATGCATAATGAAGGACGGATGTAAATTAAATGATCTAGAAGGTTCTTTGTGTTCAAAGATTTTTATTTCCGATTTCTGAGCTTCTTCTGAATAGACTGAGTCCCTAGGCTGTGTGTATAGATTCCAGTCGATTACCTGCTGTTCTCTAACTTTATCTCCCTCCTTTCACTTCACTATGAATTCTTTGTTCCTCAGCTGTTTTCTTCTTTAGACATTTTCTTTTTGAATTAACCAACAGTACTCGCGGAATATTTATTCTATACAGGAAGCATATGAGCCAGTCACTGGCTTCAGCCAGCTCTCGATCCAGTTGGACTGGCAGGGTGCAGGAGCATGCGCGCCACATTGCAGCTCCGCTGTGAGAGACAATGGCTCCAGTGACTCACAGATGACCTGTAACAGCGCAGCATGCAACTCATCTCCGTTCCAGCCCTGGGTTCCCTGGGTTCCCTGGGTTCCCTGGGTTCCCTGGGTTCAGAGGCCCTGAGGTCCGTTGAATTGGAGGGACTGGATCTTGATCTTGACCTTATTGAGGTAAGGTATTTCTGTGGGATGTGTCAAGAGCTCAGGTTTGAGGTGCAGGAGAAGCTGGCTTGAAGACTCTGAATGGTGGTACTCACTCTGCTTCTCTGGCTCTGCCACGTCTCGACTCTGCTTTTATCTATGTTGACTTTAGTGTGTGACAGAGCCTTCT